GGAAGGAGCCTGGGGCTGCAGTGCTTTTAATCAGGAAACCTGTCGCAGTTAACAGTAAATATACGAGTATGTGTGCACATCAGCCAGACTCCAGGGGATTCCAGGGCTGGGAGCCCAAAGGGTATTTTCTCCCAGAAAACATGGAATAAATGGGGTGCAGTGTATGTTGATTTGCTGTGCTCAGGGGGAACAGATGTAGACTGTTTGTTAGACTTTGGCATCATCAACCAAACCCCCTCAGCACTTAAGTATGCCAAAATCAAGAGTGAGGAGTGAAAGGAAGATTGTTGAAACATACAAGATGGGTGAAATCTTCAGTCTGGCAGAGTGGACCTTGATGTCACCTATCTGTGGGAGCTCTGCCATGTCACCCCACTCTCTACCGCTATGCAGAGGAAGAGGTGATGGCATCTGTAGGGATGAGCTGCAGTGGCTGAGAAAACACCACGCACCACCCCTGTATTTTAGACAATGCCCAAACGTGTCATCAGTGTGTTACAGTGAGTCTGGGCACCCCTGCAAAGGCCACAGCCCTCACTCTGGGTGCAGGAGATTGCAATGTCCTCTGGTCTACCTTTTCCTCCACCCCTCAAACTTCAGGGGACCTCACAGCCCCTCTGCCACTTATTTAAGATCAGAGTTCTCCAAAGAGGCTCATGGAGGCTCCCTGCTGGCTTCTCTCCAAGCAGTTCTCCACCCATCTCTGCAATCAGGGGCTCCCTTTGCTTCCCATGGAGGCCAAGTTAAATATGACTCTTGGATGTGGGGCTGCACAGCTGACCAGGCAGCTGGCACATCCACAAGGAAGACCTGCCAGAAGGACTTCATTTCTAGTTACGATCTTGGAAAAGAAACCCTTTCTGGATTATGTTTATGCTGGCTGGAAATGTGAGGTCCCCCTGAGTGCTCTCAGCTGGGGAGGACTTCAGGAGAGCTGGGCTGCAGGGAGCCCTTCATCACCCCTCCAACACCTGCAGGTTGTCAGGTAAGGGAGACCCAACCAGAGCATGAGCAGCTTTTCTTGACAGATGGCACAAAGTGCTCTGAAGCAGTAACTCCTGCTTGTAGTGCTTACAGGGGAGACCTCAGACTTTCCACTGAACTTGGCATGAGAGCTCCCTGCAGAGCCAGGCCACAGCAGGGAAAGGGAAAAATTAAAAACTCCCCACAGGATAAAAACCCAAGATATCTTGTGGTCTTAATTCCTTCCTTTCCAAAACAAACAGCACATGGTATGATTAAGGGAGCCTTTTAGAATGGACGTATTTGGACTCCTTCTCACCTCCCTTGCCAAGCCCACAAAGAGTCCTGCTCTGTCACAGCTGAAACATCTCCTTTTAACTAATTCTCCGTTTCATGTTTTTCAGGTCAACAACTGCAATATTGTAACTGCACCATGGTGAGCCAGAACACCCGGTAGGATTCATTCTCAGAAAGCAAACCAGAAAGCATTCTCAGAAAGCATCTCAGAAAGCAAACCAGCCACCTAAAAATGAGTCTTTCTGCCACAGTAGAAGCCCATACTGAGAAACACAGCATAATGGAAGTTGCTAGAGAAGACTGCTTTTCAAAGAGTTGGATTTTAAGCTAGCACATCCTTGAGCTACCTTGCACAGCACCAGGTTTTTGTAACAAAACAGCTTCTCCGGTTGCTTGCCAGTGAGATCCTCTTGCACCAGCCCTGGTTCGGCTTTTGTTTGATGTTTCTTCAAGCAAATAGCAGGTCCTGATGCCACGCCCTGCCTTGCAGGAAGACTGGAGCTTCATCCCAAACTCTGAATTACTTAGTGATTTTACATTTTTCTGTGCCTTGGTTTTCTTTCTCATAGTTTGGACAGGAAAGGAAAAGACATCTAAGCAGGCTCTGGGCTTTGGGCTGAGGCTTTCTGTGTATCTTGGGGAAACTCCAGCAACTATCTTTTCACAGGTTAACAGCTGCAGGAGGGGATCCATGAAGATCTCTGCCATAGCCCTGCAGCACTGCATGACCACAAACAAGTCACCTCCCTTCCATGTTTTCCTTCCAAAATTTCACCAGACTGGACCCTGCTCATCCTGTTGTGTCAGTGCTTGACCCAGCACCCGCCTCAGCAGAAAGGAGTGTGGTTCTCATAAGTGTATGTTAGCTAGCTGCTGTTAGATACGTGGCTTTTGGTCAACAGTTCCAGTTGCATCAACTTAGAATCTGCACTGAGAAGCTCTGGGGCTGATGCTGCGGATGTCCATAACCTCTGCCTGCAGGTCTGGGCAGGAGGAGGAGGAGGAGGAGCTGAGTTCATGTCTGAGGAGACTGACCTGTCCCAGCGGTGATGGTATCTGAGGGGCAGAGTCCACTGTCCTCCTCCAAAGCCACAGAAACGAGAGAGAACCTCTCTCATTTGGTAACAACTCAACTGCTCTGGAGTCATGACAGTTGCATGGATGTGAGGTGAAAGGCAGTAGACAGGAAGGAAAGGATTTGCTCACAAGAATGGAGGCAAGTCAGATACACACAAACTGCAACACTTCTATGCATGTTGTTCAAGACCTGGCAGCCATGAATGCTCCTGGATGGGCGTGGAGCCATAAGGCCTTGTGAATGAGCAGAGAAAGAAGGGACAGGAGTATTTATCAAAACAAAAAACAAACAAAAAAACCAAAGTGGGATATCATGAACAAGCCAGGGGTGGGAATGTGCAATTTCTTAAACTGATTTAGCTGAAAGACTTCAATATACTACGAAGATAGTATATTGAATATACTACAAATATAATGTTTTCAAAGTTAAAATGTGACTTCCTTAGCAGCTCCTGAAATAACTGTGTAGGACAAGACATGAAGAATAATTGGTTGCCGATTTCTCAGAAGAGATTATAGCAGCATTTAACTCCCAGACATCCCAGTCACAAACAGAAACAAAAGCAGTTGCAGTTGTGTCTGCCTGCAGCACAGGGGCTGCATGGCTGGGGAGACAGGATGAAAACTTCCCACTGCCCATACAGCAGCAGGGAAACAGTAGCTTGCCACTCCCTGAGCAGGTCATTATGGCATGATGCTTGTATCACCCTGCCATGCTGAATTTTCTCCAAAACCTGTCCCAGCTTTGCAAATGTAATGAATGCAGACTGAACACTACATCTGCCACATGCTCTGCACTCCTCACCCACTACCCCATAAAATCTCCTTTCAGTGGAAATGGCACCATGTCCCCAAAGGACAAGAACAGTGCAGATATGGGATTTACCCTGTTGTCAGGCTAAGACACAGTCACGGGGTTCACTAACACCCCAAGGGCTCAAGGGCAGTCTTGGATCTTCCCCTGGGCAATGTTCATCACCTAAACTTAGTCCTCAATTGGTTCCTGACCTACTTAACACTACTGTGACTCATGTGTTAGGGAGGTGAATTGCTATTTACAATTAAACTGTATTTGCATTGATATCCTTATCATAAAGTCTGGGAGGCTTGCAAGAAGATTGAGTTTGGTCTCACAGACTATCTTATTGCTTCAGACTGAGGTGCAGGACTCCACTAAAAATATGAAAAGTCCAGTAGTGGTGTTTCATCTCTTAAAAAAAAAAAACTTCTTTGTGAGTACAAAGTAGGAGGTTTTCAAAACTCTTCAAAAGGCTGATAATAGACTTCACTTTATGTACAGACACTTAATAGGAATGATGACTAAATGTGGTGAGGAGTGAAATGTCACTCACTCTTCTTCTCTCTTTAACAGCTCCATCCAAAGATTTTTTTCTCCTATGAAGTGTTAGGTCTGTTCGCCTATGTACAACTAAAGAACATGGCCTGGAGTGGAACACCTCTGTTTTCTATCATGACATTTATTCTGCATTCATATATTTGCACCAAATAATGAAAAAAGAATGGAAACCAACCCTGTGATGATTTTATACTCTTCTCTGATCAGAGATGAGCAAGAAAAAAGTGTTTCTCTTTGGAGAGAGGGAAGAAGGGGTTAAGCAGTTTCAAAACAAGCTGGGCACAACTGATGTCAGATTTTTGTCTTACAATGGCATCTATTTGCTTTCCCAGCAAGCAGTATATGAATCACTGGGCACTGCATTGTTCCAAGAATAGTGGAAGATGCCACATATCTTAGGAGAGGATGGATTTTCTTAGTCCTCCTCATTGGCTGGAAACTCCTGCTTAGCCAATAACTTTAGAGAAAATCCAACTAGAAACTCCAGAAAAAAAAACAAAACAAAACAAAACAAAAGTGTTTTGTTGGTTTTTTAAATTTAACTTTTGCTTCCTTGATGTCTGTCTCTGAAGGAAATGGCACAGCTTTACTCTCTGTACCTTCCTAGTGTCACTGTAATCAAGTGTCCTCCACAGAAGACTAGAAGCAAATCAATATCATGAAATCTATGACTGTCCTCTCAATTTTCTGAAAGCCTTCCGTGGACATTCTGTAAAAAATTGCAGGGGAGGAAAACCAAAAATTCTGACTGTTTTTCTATTTGGCTATTTTGAATTATTACAGATATGAGGACTTGTAGCAAAGTTAAGAAAACAGAAAATCTACTAAGTTTAAGAAGAAATTTAATGCGGAACTTGCCAAAACAGACCCGCTGACTGAAAATATGTTCTTAGTGTAACCACACTCAGTTCACATACATTTTTATTAAAGCCCCAGAGCAGTCTCTGTATTCATTTTCCATTCAGTCCCAGTTGTTTCTATGCTCTATATATATGCAGAAGCCCCATTGGTGCTTGCACCAGGCGAGCTGGCCATGATGCTGAGATAGCAGCAGGTAGGGACCCAGCTACACTTTGGATGAACAAAATGGTACTTAAAAAATTAGTTCCAGGCAGCATTTCCAAATTTGGAACACAATTCAGAGAAACAATTCTGGGCTGTAATGCCACAGTGCTTTTAAGCTCCCAGCTAAAAGCACGACTTGGGTTATTTTTATATCTTTGGAAGAAAGGGAGCTGCCTTCCACCTTGGCACAGGGAGCTGGCAGCTCTGAGGAGCATCACAGCACAGAAATACAAGTACTCACCCGTCATCAGTGTGTAGTAATTTGGGTAAGAGAGGCTGGGGAAGTCTGGGGTCATGTAATCCACCTTCACCCCCATGTTCACAATGTCCCGAAAGCCCGGCAGACCCTCTAGCTCGCTGTCATCAATGTAGTCGAAGCGAAAGCCGTCGAGCAGGAACACCAGGAGCTTGCGGTGGGCCGAGGAGGCGGCGGGAAGCGGCAGGAGGGCGGTGAGCGCAGCGGCCAGGAAGGCGGCGAGGAGGCTGCGGCTCTCCATGGCAGGCAGGGCGAGGGATCTGCGACAGCTCCGGGACCTGGCACTGCTGCCCCCCTCCCGCTCCCAGCCCGCGTTAAAGCTGCAGCGCTGCTCCGCGCCGCGGGCGTGGGAGGTCACAGGTTAATTGCAAACAGATGATTAACTTCGAGCTGGGGGAAGAGCTTGGTCCTTCCCAGATGCCGGAAAAAAATGCTTCGCAGCGATGGGGAACACCCAGCGTAAAAGTAACTGGAGCATCCCGGGACGCTCCGCAGACGATCCCGAGGCAGTGCGGGCACGCTGCCCGCTGCCCCGACGGGGAGGGGCCGCCGCGCCCGGCGCGCTCCCACCGCCGGCACGGAGCCGAGCCCAGCCCGGCACAGCACAGCACGGCACAGCCCAGCACAGCCCAGCACGGCACAGCCCAGCACGGCACAGCCCAGCACAGCACAGCCCAGCCCAGCCCAGCCCAGTCCAGCACAGCCCAGCACGGCACAGCCCAGCACAGCACAGCCCAGCCCAGCCCAGCACAGCACAGCACAGCACAGCTCCGCGCCGGGGCTGCGGCTCGCAGGGGTCTCGCAGAGAGGGGCTGCAGCCTTTGAAACACAGCCTCACATCTCCAGCAGCGCAAACGCGGGCTTGCTTCGCATCTCTCCGGCAGTGGCTTCTGATAGAATTGAGAGTGAGCTTAAGACAAAGCATCTCCGCAGGTGGGAAGTACAGGATGCTGAGTTGAAGTCCAGCATTTCCATGGCATGGCAGTATCGCAGAGCTCCAGCTGAGCAGGCTGCCCTCTCTCTACCTTGAGTCCCTGCAAAGATCCCTGTCCTCTCGCTTTCCTCTGTGCTGCCCTGGGACTAATCTAGCTCCTCATGCATGAGCAGAAAAATCTAGCTTCAGCTAGATAACAATTGGCTGTTGATATTATTTAGATATTCGGTGCTGGATAGTGCCTAATTTCATATTAAAACCAAAAAAAAAGTGTTCACATTTTAGTTACCACCAGGTTCTTCTCCTTCACGGAAACCTAACTATACCTCTAATGCAATGCCAGCACCTGCTGCACACCACAACTGCACTTTACTTTCTTTCTTTTTCCCAAATAAAATAATTTCATAGCATTCATAACATTGTCTAACTGTGGGAAATGCCCTTTGCAGATGTTTCCACCTGGGGAAGGCTGCAATAGCTGGCCACCACCCCAGTGTAGGCATCTGAGTTTCTCCTTGCTCCTTACAAAGCTCCCCACTGCACATCCAGCACACCCAGTTACCTCTTAGCAAATACTGGGCTGGTGCCCAGTATTTGGTCAGCACGGTCAGCAAGATGGCTCTCAGGCCCATTTGCCCCAAGCACTTATTTAGCCCCTTGCAAACCCCCTCATGTCCTGACTTGCCTTCTGCACAATGTTGCACTGGGTGCTGGTGCTCATGAGCCAAAGCTGCTGCCTTCAGGTCACCACTCCCAGAATATGGCTGGAGACATTCTGTCCATGCCCTTCTCCCACAGGGCTTCCACCTCAAGAAAAAAGATGCCCTGTCAGGGAAGGGATGCTGGGACTTTCTGTAGGAGGTAGTCATTCCAAGAAGGTGGAAGAGGACAGAGTAGGAGCGCAGCTAAGCACAACTGCTCAGGCCCTTCAGCTGCCTGTGCTTGTGTTCACTGTCTCAGTAAAATTCCTTATGCTTTCTCCGTATCAGTGGGCTAAATTGACTCTTCATGGACATCTGCCTCTCTGACATGTGCCCAGACACTTTTTTCCCCTCTTTTTTTTTTTTTTCATGTGCCTCTTTTTCTATTCCCATCTTGGAGTCCAGCACTTGGGACATACCCTCACATCAGTTAAACCTGAGCCAAGAACTTGGAGCATTTCTAAGCTCCAGCTCAGGGATCTTTAAAGCAACATAGGGACCTAGCCATTCAGGGCTTCATCCCTCTTCATATAACATTTACTTTCAAAGCCTTGCATTGCTAGCTATCATCATCTTGAAAACTTTAATTCTATATTTTGACTTCCCTTATCTTGCTTGGCTGTAGTTAATTTATTTTCTCACAGTAAAGCAGCAGTTTTCTCAGCAAAAACCAAGCCAGGGTCACACAGCTGTGCCGCACCTTGTGTCAGAGACAGCTGAGCCCCAGGGACATCCATAAAGCTTCCTGCCCACGAGAGGGAAACCTGGACCATGGTCCCATGGGATGATAAAAGGTCCTGGTCCTCTGAGCAGACATGGCCTGGGAGAGCCAGGCACTACTGGCATGCTCTAGCCTGAACATTGAAGGGAAGCACAAATCCTGCCGTGCAAGGGAGAGCCGCGGGGCTGCGTGACCCAGGCAGTTTCTCTGTGCTCTGAGAGCGTCCCAGCCTGTGCAAGGCTGCCACTGCCCTGCCCTGCCCGCAGGGACGAGCTGCAGCTGCAACCAGGCTGGGCGACGTGACAGCCTGGGCAGCGCTGTGGGCAGCTGCCTGCCTGAGGGATGGCACGTGCTGCCTGTCACACCTATGGAGAGCCACCTCCCTTCTCAGCCATCTCCAGACTCCACAGGGTCTCAGCCTGTGGATCTGCCACTTCATCTGCCTCCTGAGGTAAATGTGCACATCCTTCTTCTGCTGCCCCTGGCTGGACTTGCAGGATGAGAGGTAACCCTGCAGAACTTGTGTTCAGAGACAGCACTTCTACTAGTGCTTGCTGTGGATTTTCACTATAGCAAAAACTGTATGTTATGGACTTGGAGCCACCTATAGTGTCACATCTTGGCCAAGACACTGTGGTAATTTATTATGTCCATTCTTATGTTGAATGAACTCAGGAACATGTCCAGAAATGGGGAGGGAAATATTATTACGCACCTCTTGGCAGACCCATGAGGTCACTCACACTGATGCCTTGGCTTGTCCTCTAATGTATGGCCTCTGGGCTTACCAGCAGGGCTCAGCAGCAACAGCAGCTGCTGCCCATGAAGGAATGGGATAATAAAGGAGAAACAGTAAAGTGTCTGAGATGGACTCTCACCTTGAAAAGATGACCAGGTTTTTGAGGTGGTTAGACCAAGTAGCCAGACTTCCATCATGAGATGGTACAAAATATGTCTTCTTAACATTTTAAGGCAGTATGAAATAATGCCTTCCTTTCAAAAAGGCTGCAATCTTTTATTTAACAGCCCCTTAAGAGAAAGCTCTGTCTGAGCTGACAGTGGCATGAGTGACAATTGGTGCAAGGTACCAGAGCTCAAAGTCTGCCTTAAGAATTGGAATTTACAGGTTTCCACTCAACAAATAAGAGTAAGGCCCGAGAGGGGTTAAAGGACTAGTGAGCCACGTAACCATGATGCTGTATAATACCAACTTGTGTTTTGACAGACAATCCCCCTGAAAAGTGGGATTGGAGCCAAACAGTCTCTAGCTTGGCAGAGACAGATCCTAGCAATACATTTCATTCATGCCAAGCAATGTTGATTTGCTTTGGTTCACATTCATTTGTAAGCACCCTGTCTGCACAAAGCCCCAGATGGCTGTGGAGACTCCAGCAGAACAATATTTTGATACAAATGCTCTTACAGAAGCTAACAGAGCCTGAGCTGGTGTCTAGGGACAACAGTCCTCACTAGTTAGCTGTTAGACAGGGTTTAGGAAGAAGCATACATAAAGGAAAGAAAATTCCTCAACTCAAATTGAACATTGATCCAAAATTGTTTGAGAAAAGCCTCAACCACTTAGATTATTCAAGAAACCCTCTTGGCAAAAACTGCCTCCAGTGTCCTTGAATGTATCTTTTTTTTTTTTTTTTTTTCCAGTCCTACAGAAATCACAAACAAACAATAGAAATGAAAGAAAATTCTCTGGGCTCACACCAATAGCTCTATCTGTCTTGTCAGATACACCAGCCTTCCTGGCAGTGCAACTCTATCTGTGCTCTTAGGTTCAGGAGCACATGCAAGAACAGCAGCTGCTAAAATAAAACATCATTTCCCTTTTCCCCAGTGAACTAGAAAATCTAAGAGGAAAACTTGTCCTTCTTTGTCTTCTGAAAGAAAGAAATCATAACATGACTAATTGGCAGCTTATAATTAATTTTCAGCTCCTGTTCTCCTTCACACAAAGGAGTAGTTGAACACTTTGGCCAATACAGCCTGACTTATTTAGTTGTTTGTTTTCTGTCATTAGAGAGGAATGCAGGCCACATCCAGACATAAAATCCTTGAACTACTTGCATTTCTTTGAAGAAGAGGTTTTGTGACAGTCTGAAGTTCTAATTCTGCAAGTCTAATGTTCTTCTTCTTCTTCTGCCCACCAAACCAAGATAAAAAAGTCACAGGTGGTACTGAGCCCACTGCTGACTTCCACAGAAAACCTCTGGCAATATGTGTATCAGCCCTCTGAGCTCACAGAAGGTCTTACCTTGGTAGAAGTCATTGTCTGCAGGAGTTTTGTATCAGTTTCTTTGCTCCTGCCATGTGCATTCTCACAAATGCTTCTGCAAGGGGGTGTGCATTAGGCAAGGCATCTGCTGCCCCTTCAGATCTTCCTGGATGATATTTTATGTCAAGTCAGTTATTTCTGTGGTCTTGTGGTATGCAGTAGTTCATCCATGAGGAATTCAAGACAAAAGAAGCGGGTTGCTCTTGCTGTCAATCATGTACAGATAATAAAATCACACACTTGTTAGCTACAGAGCATTTCAAAGCCAGAAACTCCAGCTTTCCTGGAGGAAAGCAGGGATCTTTCACTGTTTGAGGCAAAGATTTCCTCTAACCTAACTATCTGGTATGGGACTTGCCTTACTGAAAACATTCACGTGCTGAATAAGGAGTACATCAAAGTGGGACAGTGACCACCCTGATTGACAGCCAGGGGCTATTTAATGTTCTTTGAAGTGCCTCAATTCAGGCAATTGTGACATTTAGAGAGCAGCTCTCCAAATCTCTTACTCTGTCCTTCACTACAACAATCACAGGTCATATCAATAACTTTTCTATTTGAATAATATCCATTGGAGATTAAGAAATTCAATGAACTAGTGGAGACCCCTCAATGGCTCCCAGTTTCCTTGCAAGGAGCTGCATGCGCTTGGTACATGATTGTCAGCACTGCTCTGTGAATGCTCCCTGACAATGGTGTCCTTGGGGAACAGGCTGTGCTTTCATGAAGTGTCACTAGAATGAACAAAGAGGGTGGCTCTTTGCACCATAGCACTATTTGGGTGTGCAAGGCCTTTTCCCTGGAGACCCTGACTGCTAAAAGCATTGGTGGGACAAATTCACAGGAAGAAAGTGCACCCAGGGCTGGTAAACACAAACAGCGCACACTCCAGCCATCCCACAACTTTCTGTTCTT